AACAACAGCAACGACAACAACAACAACATCTTTATAGGTATGAGGTTCTACTAATCCTAAATAACCGGGGAAATGAAAAATTAGCCCAAAGGTTGCTCAAAAAGACAAAACTGCCCACATAGGGCAATGACATTTTTCTCCTGGCTCTTTCAATGTCTTGTTTTTGTCACAAAGTGTTCATGTTTTGTGTGTAACACACAGGTGCTATTTTTCTCCTCTCCCTTCTATCCATCAACCAGGTGCTTGGCGGGATTCACTGGGCACCGATGTGAACAAGCTGTGCTTAAAGTCTCAGACCCAAAACGTATGTGAACACAACTGTCCTCAGTCCCACGTGTCATTGCTGGTGTTTCACCGCTGCCATGTTTATCTCAAGAAGTGATGGAGAAATCCATCTTTTTTTGGTATATTATAATGAAAATGAATCAAATGACAGGAACTTTATTTAAAGCTGGTGCAGCCATTTGGATTGGATCCTAAGAGTTAAACATAACATGCTCCGCGCATTACCGTGCTGAATTTTGCATGTACTTTACATTTCATCATGTCATTCGTATGTTGTGTCTTTTCTGAATGAAGACAAACTTCGTAGTTTCTTTCGTTCACACTAACACTCATCTCCTCTAAAAGTTTATGCATAGGATTGGTGGTCTGATCGTTAGTTGTAAAATAAGTACATGCAAATTTCAGTTTGTTGAAAAATAGACTAATTAAATTATCGCAAAGTAGAGCCTGTACAAAATCTGATCACTAGACGAACTAAACTGAAAATCATGGTCTGAGGTCATTATTGAACCCAGACTCAAAGATTCAGAAATAATAGTTGGATTTTTGGGTCTAGTTGGACCATTCTCCTAACACCAGTGATGACTGCTGTGGGTTTTACACAGCTCCTGTCTAAACTAACCCCCCTCTCTTGTCTGTTTCTTGTCTTTACTACACAGGTGTCCAAATGAATTCACTGGTGAACGCTGCCAAACCTATGTAATGGCCAGCTTTTACAGTATGTCACTTTTTTCTTCCTAACCTTTTTTCAGACTGAAGCATGCTTTATTAACAACTGTTTTAACAACTTGTTTTTAATATGCAAACACTTTGTGCCATTTTACATTTCAGACATGCTTTACTAATGAACACGGTTGCGGAATGTTTAACATTTAATCTTGGGGTTATAAATGGTACAGAGGGGTTGTAAAAGTATTCACTCCCTAGCAAATCTTTCTGTTTTTGTTGCCTTATAACTTGAAACAAAAATGTATTTTCATTTGATTAAAAGTAATGGAACCGCACAAATTATACCAGATTATTAAATTAACTGGGAAAATTTGCTGCGGCAAAGGGGTTAGGGGAGTCGTCTTGTAACTGGTGGGTTGCTGCTTTAGTCCCCTGTTCCACTCGTCTAAGTTGTGTCCTTGCAAGACACTTCACCCACTTGACTACTGGTGGAGGGCCCGATGCATGGCTGCCCCACTTCTGTCAGTGTGCCCCAGGGCAGCTGTGGCTGCAATATAGCTCACCACCCTCAAGTATCTTTGAGTGTCCTATATCCTATCCTATCCTATCCTATCCTATCCTATCCTATCCTATCCTATCCTATCCTATCCTATCCTATCCTATAAGTTTGACATATTATTATTATTTAAATCTAAAAATCTATACGTTCTATCTGCATGTATTGATCTCATTTGTTTTGGAGGCCCAGCAGGACCAAGAGGTCCAGAGGACCTAGCTGAAGTTGGGTGGTTGTTTTAAAGGGGTAGGAGATTTTATCCAAGTGAACAATCTTACCTGCTGTAAATAATGCTTTGAACAATCTCAGTTTAGTGAAAAAGAGTTAAACTCTTTATGAACTGACAAGATGATGGCAACTTTAATAGGGCCAAGACCAAAGTAGAGTTCTGCCATCTTAAACAGATCTAGTCTCAAAAATATCACAGCAGTTCATCTAAACCTTATTTTATAACTATTTAGTCACTTTATTTTTCATGTTTTTTCTGGTAGAATTATTTTGCATCCCTGCCCTTTACTTTCTACCAGGGCTGAGGCTAGCTGTTGTTTCTAATTATACTTTCCAAACAACCATATATTTTTATATAAAACTATCTAATGTGAAACTAACAGTAATGTAAAGGTTTATAAAATTATATTTGCATTATCCTCTATAAAAATTTTGAAACTGTAGTTGTTTTAGGACTGCCGCAATCCATTTTTCTGCCAGGGGTAAATGTATTTGCAAAGCACGGTGCAGACATTATGGTCTTTGAATAATCTCTCAGTTATGTAGGCGTTAAGTATGGACAATTTGAAGTTTTTTTTAAACTTATTTTATCCTATTTTTTAGCTTTATTTATTTATTTTTATTAAATTAAATAAAAGTTACACCAGTCTGTGTACAGAAGTAAATACAAGTCATGAATGTTAAAGTTTCGATGTAGAGTTACTAGTAGTTGTTTAAAATGTGCCAAACCCATTTTTTATGACAGTAAATACAGTACATA